TATATACATATATAGTTGTAGGTCATACACCACCTACACTTTTCTGTAGAGATATGACTGATTTCAGATATCCGTTGTGTTGTACTGAGGCAGTTCTTATGTTATATGTCTCCTCTCCATGTGGAAGGTGTCTCCCAAAAAAGAAACAGTAGGTTTCCTGTAGTGATCTGATAAACCCAACTGTGTGCCTGTAGTGAACCTGTGCTTTCAAGTCATTCGGTAGAAAAAAAATAAATAAAGATGAGAGTGCTCCTTTAGGCATACCAGGCTGCAGAACACAAATGTGATGTCACTGTGGAAAAGGCAATTCATTATCATATTTAGATGTAGAACAGAAGTCTTTTATACATAGACGAATTTGATCATTGAAAGTTGCCTGAGTGTGAGGATGTGCAAATGTCAGGGGTTTTGCAAGAAGGTAGCCATTTAAAAACCTCTGACATTTGCAATGTTAAGTTGAGCATCACTTTTTAGATCTCTGAATGTCTTTTCTGCTATATCAGGAAATTCAGCCATTAGCAGTTACTGTATGCTATCACACTAATTTGGTAAATATGAAAAAATACATGTTTTTAAAGAAAAAGTGAAAGCTTATATTTTTCTTCTTATTGTGAGTCTTGGTTCTGACTTTATTATGTAAACAATTTTTATCACCACGCAGAGTCTTTAATACATTTTTTACTACTTCTAAAAGTTTCTAATTGAATGATCATGATAAAATCTAGTTGACCAACACGAGGAGAACGCATCACCACCCAAATCATCCTTGTCTGTAGAAACTTCTTACTGGGCTCCAGCAACTTTGTTTTTTTGCTGGCTCTTAGTTCTTTTAGTGGACTCTAGTTATACTTCCCAATAAATTACTTAAAACAGTTTGACACCTAAATATAGAACTTTGAACCAATAATAAATAGCCTGTCTTTTTTTCTTCTATGCTAGAGTAAGACTCTGATATTTTTCTTGTTTTGAATATGTCTGTGTGAGGTAGTTCTTTAATATTGGAATAGTCCACATTTTGTGAATCTTCCCCAAACTTGTTTTTCTTAATGAAGTTGCGCTTTGCTTTATGTAGTTTTGTTTTTCTTAATGTAGTTGCGCTCTGCTTTATGTAGTTTTGTTTTTCTTAATGTAGTTGCGCTTTGCTTTATGTAGTTGTGCTTTTAGATTTGTAGTTGCAGTTTGCACTTCAGGGCCACTGTAGATTTTGCTTATCCCCCTTTTTTCTTCCACTCAATTTTGCTAAATTCTTCAATGCTGTCATTAACAGTGCGATTTCCACTAGCTGTAACACCAATATAAAAGAAAATAATATTTAGAATTACTCAACAAACAAATGGAACTTGAGCATCACTTTTTTAAAATGACTTACTAAAGTAAATTAATAATGACATACTAATTTATTGAGACGTTCTGGTTGACGTATAGGTACCTATAAGACAAACTGGTCAAAGCAACTTAGGTATAACTGTTTGCACAAACAGGGACATACTTCTGCTTAAAAACTGTATTTCCTAAAAATTTTTTTACCTAACTAACTTGTGTGAGTACCAGCTAGCCACAGTAAAACCCATTCTTTCCAGACAACATTTCGAAAAAGTGATCCATGCATTTGTGACCACACAGCTGGATTAATGTAACTCACTTTATACAGGGGTCAGTGATTTGTATATTTCCCATCTTCAGAGGGTTCAAAATGCTGCTGCACATCTTTTAACAGGTACATGAAAATTCGACCACATTTCCCCTATTTTAGTTTCCTTACGCTGGCTGCCAGTACATTTTAGGATTGATTTTTAAAAAATCTTATTTGTTTTTAAAACTCTTAATGGCCTTGCCCCTCCTTATCTGTCTGAGCTGTTACATACTTACACACCCTCCCGTTCCCTCAGGTCAGCTGATCAGTTGCTTCTGAGGGTCCCATAGACAAAATGCAAGCTTGTCTTATGCTCAAAGAGCATAAGACAGGCCTCTTCTCTTGCTCTTTTTAAGTCCCTTCTTAAGACTCATCTTTTTTCTTTGGCTTTTGGCACAATTTGAGAGGTTTCACTTTGTTTTATTCTGTTTGTATACTAATATGTATTTGATACTCAATCCTTTCTATTCTAAAATTGCATTGTATTTTATGAATGTGCGTAGCACTTTAGTCCTGTCCTGTCGGTGTATAAAGTGCTTCATAAATAAAGTTGGTATGGTATGGTAGCACCAACCTGGCCATTAAAGTAGATTTTGATTCTCCCATTCTGATTAATGTAACAGCTGCATGAACAGTAGACGATTTAGGTAAATGTTTTCCTATTGTGACTGTGAATCAACAAGTGGTATAATTTTGATTATGTGTCTGGCAGAAAGGAAAATTGGAAGCTTGGAAGGAAGCTTTACTGATGTTTAAGTCCAGTCTCATATGTTGCCAGTCATTTTTCCATTTTCTGAACTAAGAGCATTTTGACCATTGTTTACTGCAGGTAGTAGGACAGAGATCAACTGCTCAAATTTAATAAAATTTGGCTACTCTTGCAATGAGTGTTAATCAATAGACATGCTTTTAAAATAGAGTTTATTGTAAATCATATTATTACCCTTCAATGCAAATAGATAGATTCATAGATAGAGTTATGATCATCATTACTATTGCACCATTATTACATAATTTTTTCTATCATTTTATTTATTCATTGGTGTGTTATTTTACCTTTTTTCTTGAAACATAAAAAGCAAAACTTACTAACTGTGTGTTTAATGGGCTACTTGTGAAGGACTCAGTCTGTGCATGTTTAACATGAGGCTGAGCTGCTGAAGTCACGGCTCCCTCTACAGTTTGTACAGTGGAAAAATTTCCATCCTTTGCAGGAAAACAATCAAACCGGCTGTGTTGAACAGTCGGGAGGACACCACGGGAGATCACACACACGCAAACGCTCACTTCTTTTTGTGTGTCTGCAGCAACAGCGGGTACCTACATGCTTCTTTTATCAGACGAACAGGCAATTTGAGCTCTGATGGTTATTTTTGCTGTGGAGGAGGGAGGTTTTTCAATTTTCTGCAGACACGGAGAAAAAAAATATATTTTTTTTTACATACTGGAGGAGTGACGGCAACTTTCCCACTGCTCGGACTTAACAGTAATCAGAGGGCAAGGCGCGGAGAAAAGAAAGAGAGGGAGAGAGGGAGGAAAACGGGAGAGACAGAGCTGGACTTAACGATGCAAAGGGAGCAACATTCAGCAGAGTGTCCACGCACAGAAACACCTCGGAGTGTGGCGTCTGTGTAACAGAGAAGCAATGTTTGGTGCGGGGATGCGGTTCCCGCCGTGGTCCCTGCCCGCGGATGTTGCGGCTCGGTCGGGCTGCGCGTGGAGCCTGTGGGCGACTTTGATTGGACCGGACACGGACTGGGGCTGACTGATGTTTGTCCGACGAGAAAGATGCTACAGGGAGGAGATCAATAAGAGTTACCGGTACGCTTGGAGATGCCAATATTAACCGAGGATGGAGTGGGAAAAAAGCATGCATAAGGAATATATCTTGGACTGAAACAGATTATATTTTTTTTCCTCACTTCATGCAAAAACGGACCTTTACATTTTTTTTTTTTGGGGTACTCCACTTAAGTTATTCTTCTTTTAAATACTAACATTTATATTATCACAGTATATTTCAGTAACAAGGCAAATAACTTTATTCTGAAACCTTTTTTCTTTTTAAGGAAAAAATATCCACCAAAATGTGCTTGCTGATGCCATGAAACATGGCTTTTATGTGGGCAGCATTTACAGTTTTTTTACTCCAACTCTGCGGAGTGGGGACTGCTCTCTCAGGGGTCTTCAACACCACCGATAGAGATGTTTTCACAGATGACTCTCCACAGGTCACGCTCGAGCGGTGGAAGCTCCACTCTGCTGACTCGCATCCTAACCTGTATTTTAACCAGGCAGATGTCTTGCACTTGAGGCAAAGGTCCTCAACTACACACAGTCACATTTTTAAAGTCATCCGGGCAGCTGTGCTTACCATGCTTTCCAACCTCCCCTCTTATTTACCCCCTGCAAAACATGAGGAATTTACAAGCAAGTGGAATGAGATATATGGGAACAACTTGCCCCCTCTGGCTCTTTACTGCTTGCTTTGCCCTGAGGACTCAGCTGCCTTGCAGTTTCTTATAAAGTTTATGGATAGGATGGCCAGTTATCCCGACTGGAAAGTAACGAGCGCGCCAAATGATGAGGTCCCCACTGCACACTCTCTGACTGGGTTTGCCACTGCATATGACTTTATTTACTCTTACTTGGATGAAAGTAGGAAGGATGCTTACCTCAAGAAAATTCGTTCTGAAACAGAGGCACTGTATGAACTCTCTAAGTACAGAGCATGGGGAAAACAGTTTCTTCAAAACCATCAAACCACTAATATCTTGGCAATCCTAACTGGTGCAATAGTGGTGGGATCACATAATGATCCAGAGTCAATGATCTGGAAACAGGTGGCGGTGAACTACATGGAGAAAACCATGTTTCTTCTGAATCATATTGTTGATGGTTCTCTGGATGAGGGGGTTGCCTACGGAAGCTACACAGCCAAGTCCATCACGCAGTACGTCTTTTTAGCTCAGCGCCATTTTAACATCGACAACATGGAGAACAACTGGCTGCGTGGGCACTTCTGGTTTTACTATGCCACTCTGCTGCCAGGCTTCCAGAGGACAATTGGCATAGCAGACTCCAACTACAACTGGTTTTATGGACCAGAGAGTCAGCTGGCTTTCCTTGACACTTTTGTCATGAAGAATGGAACAGGAAATTGGCTGGCTCAGCAGATTCGAAAGCACAGACCCAAGGATGGACCCATGGGGCAGTCATCTGCCCAGCGCTGGGCAACACTTCACACAGAATACATCTGGTACAACTCACATCTGACACCTCAACATCCTCATGACTTTGGCAAAGCAAAGATGCACATTTTCTCCAACTGGGGAGTTGTTACGTATGGAGGTGGACTTCCTGCTGGCCAGAGTAATACTTTTGTTTCTTTTAAGTCTGGTCGGCTGGGTGGCCGTGCAGTCTATGACATTGTTCATGAAAAACCGTACTCCTGGGTAGATGGTTGGAACAGCTTTAACCCAGGCCACGAGCACCCAGACCAGAACTCTTTCACATTTGCTCCTAATGGGCAGGTGTTTGTATCTGAAGCACTTTATGGTCCCAAATACAGCTATCTCAACAATGTTTTGGTGTTTAGTCCATCTCCTACAAGCCAGTGTAACAGTCCATGGGAGGGTCAGTTAGGGGAGTGTGCGAAGTGGCTTCGCTGGACTGATGAGGGTGTGGGGGACACTAGAGGGGAGGTTATTGTTGCCTCTGAGCACAAGGATACTATATTTGTGAGTGGGGAAGCCGTATCAGCATATTCCCCAGCCATGAGATTAAAAAGTGTTTTCAGAGCTTTGGTTCTACTAAACTCTCAAACATTGGTGGTGCTGGATCATGTTGAGAAGTGGGCTGACTCTCCTGTGAGGTCTTTTAGTGCTTTTTTCCACAACCTAGACATTGATTTCAAATATGTTCCCTTTAAATTTATGAATAGATACAATGGTGCCATGATGGATGTGTGGGATGCTCACTATAAAATGTTTTGGTTTGACAGCGAGGGTCGCAGCCCTGAAACCAAAATACAAGAGGCTGAGCAGGCAGCAGAGTTTAAAAAGAGGTGGACACAGTATGTCAATGTCACCTTTCCAATGATTGGCACAGTCAGCAGAGTAGCATATGTGTTACATGGTCCATATGTTAAAGTCTCAAACTGTGCATTTATAGATAGCAGCAAAAATGGTGTTAGGCTATCTTTAACCATTAATAACACAGAGAAGATTGTTTCTATTGTTACAAACTATAGAGACATTGGAGCAAGGTTGTCTTATATAGGGTTTGGTGGTCACTGCAAAGTTGAGGATAGATATCAAATCATTAGATATGGCCTTGGGACGCAGCACATCCCTAAACAAATTATCAGTGATAACAAGCTCTTTGACATTGGATTTGCAGTCAACGTTGTTGCTGGGGTTGTTCTCTGTGTGGCAATTGGATTTTTGACCATGCAGAGAAAGTTTTATGTTTGCTTTAGCAGGCTGATGCGCTATGCCTTGATCTCTGTGCTTTTCCTCTGGATAGTTGAGCTGCTGTTTGTGACTAACAGCTGCGATCAGCTTCTTTGCGGAGTGAAGTGGAAATCTGGGGGGACCAGAAGTGAAGTAAGCAAACAAATCAGATTGTACGAGCAGCGCAGGCTCCCCCTCCCCAGTGTGCTCATAACGTCTCTTCCTGGATCAGGGTCAGAAATACTCAAGCACCTTTTCTATAATAACTCTGACTTTGTTTACCTAAGGGTTCCCACTGAACATGTGGACATTCCTGAGACTGAATTTGAATTCGACTCGCTGGTGGACACCTGTGAGTGGTCAAGGACAGATGCTGTGCATGGGCGGTTTAAGATCATTCAGGGCTGGCTGCATTCCCTTGTGCACAATACCAAACTGCACTTACAAAATATCCAGCTTGCAGAGGGCAGCAGGGTTAAACAGCCCCAGAGAGTGGGCCCCTCAAGGGACAGAAAAAAAAGATCCAGACGGAGAGAGCCTCCATCGGAGCTGAAAGGCAGGCTAAGGGCTAGCCTGGACAGGGACACAGAGTACATCAGGGAGATGAGAAGACACATTGCAGAGTACCCCAATGCTCGGGTGGTCCTCAATATGCGTAGTGGTAGCTGGACACTTAAAATACCCTTCATTCAGGAAGTGGTTGGTCCCTCCCTGAGGGCAGTTTATTTGGTCAGAGACCCTAGGGCATGGATTTATCTTATGGTTTATAATAGCAAACCTAGTCTTTACTCACTGAAAAACATTCCACAGCACCTTTCCTTGATATTCAAGGAGGATTCTGTAAGGGGAGGCTGCCCAGCGATTGCACCAGAGTTTAAAACAATCCAGTGGCTGCTGTCCCATTCAGAGACAAATCCTGTCCTGATCCTTGCTCATCTGTGGTTGGCTCACTCAGAGGCAGCACTTCGAGTTGCTGAGGGCCTTCCTGAGGATTCCTACCTGCGCGTTAGGTTTGAAGATGTTGTCAGCTTCCCCCAGGAGACAGCTGAGACAATACACACATTCCTGGGAGTGCCTGTGTCTCCCACAGCATTAAATCAACTGACATTCACCACCTCTACAAACTTGTATAACCTCATGTATGAAGGAGACATCTCACCAGCAAACATCAACATATGGAGGCAAAAAATGTCTCGAAAGGACATCAGACTCATTGAGGATATATGTGGAGGTGTAATGAAAAAGTTGGGTTATGCCAGATTTGGAAGTTAACTGCTGATCAATCTGTGTAGAGCTGTCATGTTTACTGTAGCTGCTGGTCAAATATATCTTCTCTTTTATTTTTGTTTGCACTGAAATTTAAGAAAGTGAGTTGCCTCTCTGTCTGTGTCCAAGTGATTTGCTAACAGTAGGGGTGTATTTTAGACTTGTGCAGATTGCGCCAACAGATGTCTTAGACTGAAGAATATTTTTATGTATAACAATAAGCGGAAGAGATCTTGTGCTTTACTCTTGCAGCTCATCCTTATTTGTAGCACTCCTTCATTAAGAAAGATTTTTTTTAACATTTACTCTCTAGCAAAAAGAATACCAGACGAGTCAAAGGTTATATACTGTTATGTTTGGAAAAGTTAAATCTGTGTTTCCACTTAATTGAGATTTATTATTATTTGTTGAAATTTTTATTTCTTTTAGAGGTGATCATTGACTGGTTTGATGGAGATCTGGTGCTGTGGGGAACTTCTTTTGCATGTGTTTTGGCGTATCTACGGTTTACATATATATATATATATATATATATATATATATATATATATATATATATATATATATATATATATATATACACACTGTAGTAATATCAATTTGATTTATTTGAACATTTAGAAGAACAGAAAAAATTACACTACACCAGATTTAAGGAAAAATTTACACTTATGACTATTTAGTCTGTAAATTATTTCGCAGACTTTTAATATTTAAATTTTACGGGTAGAAAGCCATTTGCTTTCTTAATTGTTACTTATTGAAAAGGTTTTGCTCTAGGAATATGAACAGACCAAAGGTATGACTAAAAAAACATCTGGAAAACATATTTACCATAAAGGAAGCTTTGGAAAAAAGATTGAAACCACAGTAACCCCTCATTCACACAGATTCCTCCACACATCCCTTGTTCTGTTGCAAATTGAAGCCTTTTTGGTCTGTGTGGTTAAATCCTACTGATTTTGTTACTCTGGGTTATGAAGAATGGCCCTAGTCTGTCATTTGTTAGATTTATGGATAAATTCTATTTGGGATGTATGACAAAATAAAATATGTCAATTTCTAAAAAAGCAGAAGAGGCACTCAGACATGGGAAAAATAAAGTAGATGTACTAAATTTCATAATGAGAGGCAAGGGATGCTTTCAGTGTGGACCCCATTTCTGTGTTTGTTGAATTAGAATTATTTATAAAGGATGGAACCAAACAAATTGAAAGACTAGAGGATTGAAAAGCAAGGCTGTTTCTAATTCTGACATCTTCATTAGTTAAAACATTTGCATTGTTCCACAGGAACATAAAGTTGGCCTTTTTTCATTATTTGAGGAATATTGTGTAATCTTTAACCTTGTTCAATATCTTTGCATATCAAAGTTAAAATTGATTAATTCAGGGGATAGTAACAAGGTGAAATATGTTGAATTTGGAAGAAATGTCCTTAGCAGTTAGAATAAAATTAAAAACAATGATTAACGAAAGTAAACAGACCAAAATATTGAGAGTGGTCTCTCAATGTTCTTTCTAGAGGTGAGCAGGTCCATGTTTGTGTCTGTTAGTAGAGGAAAGATGTACATGATTCATATTGTAATTTTGCTATTGGAACAATACATTTTAAGGTATGCATGAGTTAAAAAAATTAAATAAATCACGAATTACAAAGTTATATTTATTATGGAAAAATAATATGAATATGAAATGTCAATTATTAATTCCAAAATTGGTTCTAAATATAATCATAAAGAAATTAGGAAACAACTTTAAACAGAAGAGACATGGACAAGGATATACTTTTAATATGAAAATATATATAAAAAAATAAAATATTTTTTACTACCCACAAATACTCAAAATTTTACCCTAAAAAGATAACACTCTACCATAAAAATATTTAAATTTATTTAGAGTGATGATATTCATCTTTTTTTTTTCAGAATAAAAGATTAGAGGAGGATTAGTGGGTATTTCACTCTGGCACAGGTCCTGATAAATTATTTCAAAAATATTAGAAGGGAAAGGGCTAAAAACACAAGTAAAAAGCCCCAAGAAAAACTTCTGATTATTTGTCCTTTTAAAAACTGCGAAAACACTGCTGCAGGCTTGCCACAACATCAGCATTTAAGATATATAAACGCTCAATGCTTTGAACGTACTTCTCTTCTATCAGCTAACATATTTTATTTTAAATTAGGCTCGAAGATGTCATGGCAGTTGTGCGGCTTGGTGCTTTTACAGGCAGTCTATTGTAAGAAATGAACGCTGAGATTTTCTTTTAACTGTGTTGGAAATTAGTCTTGTTTAAAAAAAATGTCTCTGAAGATGTAACATGTAGCAGAATATGAGAAGTATTTAAGGCTTCCAAAGACATACATCCCAAAGGATCGAGAATAAATAGGATATTATTATAATAACTCCCTTTAGCGGTTATTGAATCAGAGGGAAGTGCTTAATGGGGATCAAACTGAAAAAAAGCCAAACTGTCGACCCTGATGCATTTCTAGTCAATGCAGTTTTTAAAGCATTCCTCTCAGCATTCCACATTTTTCTGAAGACTGTTTTACTGTCAGGAAATCTGTGCTGTAAAGAACCTGAGAAACATGCAAACAGCACAGGCTTCCATCTCCTGAAGTGTTCATTCTCTTAGTCGATGATCTCTAGTTTTAATTATGTTTTTTTTTTATGCAGAGTACAGCAAGCTGTGCACTAAAAGGGAAGAGAATAATAAGTTCAGAGAAAAAAAGAGATCATCTTGTCTCTGTGATGTAAAGCTGTTGCTTGGGCAAAAGTGTATGCTACTCAGTAACCTTTCAAGCTCTCTCTCTAAATCTTTTTTGTACTTAAACTGGATCATATGTTTTGTGCATATGGTGCACTCCTTTATACCCACAGAAGCTGACAGTTCAAAAGAACATCACTTGTTAACCATTTCTCCATTAGAATCAGCCGTTTGTTTTCTTCCTTGCAAACACTGAAACCGTTTACTGGCTAAGAAAAAAACAACCTGTTTGATGTCTGTGGTCTTTGAATGTGTAGATTATGGCAAACATGCTTTCACTTTTGGTGTTGCAAACCTGTTAGCGACTCAGTGTTTTGTATTTGCTTGTGGGGATACAGTTCCTTGCTTCTGTGGCCTTGAATTACAATCATTTCCATGTAGAGGGAGTTTTGTTTGGGATTTTGAGTGTGAGGTGGACATGATGTTCAGAAAATAATAAATTTATGAATATATTCACAACCAGTCTTTGTTTGGATGCTATGAACTGTTTTTCACTGTGATAATATTATGTCCTCTGTTTTTATACTTTACACATACACATTTTGTACTTATTCTGTCAAGCTTTATTACAGTTCCACGAGTAGTTTTGTATAGATACCATGCATATATATATATATATATATATCATATAAATTTGGGGGGTTTAAAGATTTTATGCGAAAAATTACAGTGTATACAATTCCAGTGTTTGGAAAAAGAAATGTCCTAATTTATTTGAGATTTATTTCTTAACACAGAATTGTTGGGGAGACTGTTGTTGGTTGCCACACTCATCATATTTAAGCCACCACAGGGTAGTGTCAAATATTTTTTTTACTTAAATAGTCAAAATCAGTGACCACTGACCTTTGATGTAATTTTAAAGCGTCACAGTGCAAACATTCTTTTACTGTGCCCTGCAGGCTTAGATATGATAAGAGTGAAAACAGACACTGCTGATAACCAACACCCATCTTCCGAAATACAGACAAAAATAAAATGGTAGAAAATTCAGTTGCATGTAGTTTTTATTTAAAGAGCTGCATAGACAATGATCAGTAAAAGTCCCCACCCTTGCAAAAAAATATCTAGCAATGTGCAAAAATGTTTTTAATTGACCATTAATTTGAGCAGGTAAATGAGATGATCTGCCAATGGAATGAGTATTTTTCCTCTTAAAATAAGATATTTAGATAAGATGCAAATAAGAAATTACAATTGTGTTTTCTTATTTTAAATGTAAATCATCTTGTTCCATTGGCAAAATATCTCTTTTATCTCATCAATCCAAGAACAAATGCACTTATTTCAAGAAAAAGATTTTGATTTTTTTACAGTGTGTTTATTCCATTTATTTTGGCTTGAAGAATGTGATTTATGATGAAATCCTTCACCACTCTGTAAAAGATAGTACAAATATTTTTACTATTGATTAATAGGTAAGCCACAATGCGCCCGAAGCTCCTATGGGCATAGTGTTGTGTAAATATATAGGATGTGTGTTTATTTTTTTTATACAACACAGTTGTAACCCTTACCGAATATAGTGCTTAAATCACAAAAGTTGTAAATACATATGAAGATGCAAAAACTTAATACATGAATAACTACCTAAAATAATAAAATTAGGCCTTTTTTAGGAAAACAATCAAATAAATAAAAACAAATAAAGTAGCTACCTTTACCGTATTGCGTTTTTTCCGATCATGTCAAACGGTTCTATATCATGCTTTTTAAACCTTCCAAAGTTATCTACTGGTATTTAATATGATTAGATATTACCTTCAAAAGCTAAACTGTATTCATTTGTTTTGAAATATCATTTGATTTCTGTAACCATTTTTCAAACTTCTAAGACAGAAACTTTTCTTTACTGTGATGACCTCTCTCTCTATGTGAGCCTTGCATATTTCACGATTTCCCCCCTAAAGCAGCGGCAGCATGGTATGTTAGGCAGTTTGGCTTTTGACTAGCGAGGCTGGACAAATACAGACACCTCTCAGACAAAGAACAGATCACAATTTAAACCTTAGCTAAAAAGAATAATTGATGTTGCTTTGCTAAAGGGGCTAAACACTTTGTTTCAACTTTAAGCAGAAATATTTCACTACAAATTAATACTCTGTAGTAATAAGTAATAAGTCTAACATCGCTGCTTGCTGATTAGTGAGAGTGGGCATATTGCTTACTATGAGGGTGCAGCGTGATAAAGCTAGTACTTCCTGGAAAGGGTAGGTTATTACTGCTTTAAATAAAATGGTTATGGTCACTTGCCTTTTGGGGAGGGGCTGATTAAAAAGCAGACCTCAAGGATTCCTTATGTATGAATCAAGGAAAATACCACTTTGGTCATCAAAAAGGATGATTCTCCATTGTAATGGCTTTTAACTTATTCAAACTTCAATTTCTTTTCATATAATATATCCAGTGCTTTTTTGTTGTTTGATTTACATCAGGCAGATGATGCATCACATTACACAGAAGACATACAGACAGATAAGTCCTGACGGAACTTTGGTCAAATCAGATCTGGAATCTGCATGATATGAAAAGGAACATCTAGGGTAAAATCAGGGACGAAGATGTAACCTTTTACAAGGTTATCATCTGAAAACCTGCTGCCTTTTTCAAAAGTCTATTTGTTGGCCTGAGATGAAGAATTTGAGATTGCCATCCATATTTGTTATTCCAACTATTTTGTGCAAAACATCAGCAGGATGTCATTATATGATGCCACCATCAAACTTGTCAG